CCTCTGGCTCTGGGCTGAGTCATCAGGAAGGGTCTCTGAGTAGAAGCATATTCTTTGTCTGCACTGCATTCTTGGATAACTGCGCTGTCAAAGCAGAAAGGAAAAGCACCCCTGCCTTACTTTGTTTTTCTGAAGAATAATACAAATGATAGAGTATATTTGATAGTGTTTAATCCTCCAAGCATCCCTTTGAAAAGTGATTCCCATTTTAGAAAGTTGACATTGAGGCTCAGAGGTGACAAATGACTTGTCTGAGTTCATTTAGCTGTAAATGGCACTATAAGGCCTTCAACTTGGGATTTTTGCCTCCCTCCTCTATGTCACAGCTGCCTCAACCTGTTATTCGTTTATATGAAGCTGTATTTACTTTGGTCATGATTCTTGATAGTAAATGTACATTCTTCATTTTTTGCTCAATGTTTTTATTTTATGGTTAGCAAAGCAAACAAACAAACAAACAAACAAACAAAAAAAACCCTAAATCCTGTCCGGCTGGAACTGCAGCCTTTAATCTTTCTAAAGACAATAGGCAGGACTGAGGCCCTCATAATAAGGTGCTAGCCAAACAGGAAGGAAGCTGGGAAAGGAAGTCCTCCTCCCAGGAGGTAATTGATTCCTAACACTCCAGGTAGCACTGAGTTTGGAGGCTCCATGAAAAGGTGTCTGCTCTTTTCCCCCTGTTTCCAGAGGGAAGTGCACAAAGCTTTTATTCTCCCCACTCCCTTAGAATTAGCCAGTCAGGGCCTCTGTGTCCATGGGGCCAGACCTGAGCATTTGTAAATGAACTGAAGGCAGAAGGATAGCTCAGAAGAAAAACAAATGGTAAGATTATGGTTATTTATGTGCCCCTAAATTTAATAATCTTAAAAATCTAAGAACAACAACAAAATAATCCTAAAGGAGAGCAATAATTTTGAAATATGAAGTTTAGAAAACCAAATTTATCAGTCTTAGGGGCCAGGGGAAAGAAGGTGTACAAGGTAAGAAGTCTGGGATAACCTAGGTGCTGCTTCTGAGCTCATGCCCTTGGGCAAGACCTGAACACCTAGGTCTAAGGAGGGTCTGAGACTACATGGCCACTCAAGTGCTAGGGTCTTCCTGGCAAGAGAATGCTATTAACCAGAATCTTCATCAGACCTTCCTCACCATTGCAATAAAATAACTGATGCTAAAAATTAGACCCCCACTAGAGAAGCAGGGAAATGAAGTCCAAATTAAAAAGAAAAGGCATGGGATCAAGTTTAGGGTTAGGTATTTCATTGAACTTCCAAGGGAAGCACAGCACCTGACATATAGCAGGTATTTAATAAATGAATGGATGACAGGTGGATGGACTGATGGAAGGTCAGTCCTTCCCCAGTGGTGATGGACCTGGGGGCAAAGAAACCTGTGGTTGAGTCCTGATCCACACCAACACAGTGATAGAGGCAAAATTATAAGCATCAGTTTCTTCCTGTGTAAAATGGAGATACTTCACAGGGTAATGATGAAGTGAGAAAATGCTTTCAGGGCCCAACACATAAGAAGCACAGAATTTTGTGATCATATCCTCTACTCTAAAGAGTCCTCTGAGGAACAAGGAGGCTCCAGAGGCAAGAAGTGTGCAGGTAGGAAATCCGTTAGCCTTCCAGATTTCTGCTGGACTCTGCACCTTGTCTCTGAGAGTGGGACCGCTTTCTCCTGGGACCCTTGATGAGATCAAGGGCTCCTAGATGAAGCCCAGAAGTTAGGTGGGCTCTATGAGCCCAATTTCAGCCTGCTCTGCACAGAAACCCAGCGAGTCTTGGCCTATACAGCTGGGAGAAACGGACCCAGGCATGAGAACTGCAGGTGGGGATGCTATCACTGTCTAGTGGGAGGATAGGGAAGCGGTGGCTGAGGTGAGAGTCGGTGGACCTTTCAGTGAAGTCTGTGTGTGACCTGGAAAGCCTCAGCTCTTTTAGAATCCCTGGGCCAGACCTGGCGACCCATTTGCGTGCATTTAAGGCATTTGCACATGGAGACTTGTTGAATGTAGCTGACTTTCATACAGTCTGGAAAACAAGAGGTCTTTCTAGCAACCCATGGGGATGCTCCTTCTTCTAAAGGAATGGTTTCTGGTTTAGGAAGAAGAAATTTTTTTCTTTTCTTTTCTTTGTTTCTTTTAAGATTTATTTATTTATTTTAGAGAGACAGAGAGAGAACGTGAGGGGGGAGGGGCAGAGAGAGAGCCTTAAGCAGATCCCACACAGAGCGCGGAGCCCCACACTGGGCTGCATCTCAGGACCATGAGATTCCAACCCCAGCAGAAACCAGGAGTCCCACGCTTAAACCGATTGTGCCACCCAGGCACCCCCAAGGAGAAATTTCTGTGAGATTTTTCTTGGGTCTTTCCTTCTAACAGCATTGTCCCTTCCCAGTTTACCTAAAACTGACGCAGACTATTAGTGGGAGTGTGACTATTAGCATATAAGCATATTTATGAAGTGTGCCTCTAGGGAGCAATCAAAAACTGACCGCTCAGCCACAAAAATATATGCAAGTCTGAGAACTTTGAGAGTTGCCTTTTGTAAGGTAGGGTTACCATGGGGAGGGCAAATCAGTTGAGCCTACAAGAGCTCATTTGAGGACGCTGCATTTTTTCAGTTGAGAAGCAGCCTAATCTTTCCTAACCACTCCCCGCTTAAGAGGTCTCAGACGACTTCAAAAACGCGACAAACGGCAGTGTTCTACAGCCTCCTTTGGGTTATCCAGGGCCGAGTTTCCTCAGGCGGGGCAGGGGAATTGCAAATCAGCTTGGCACTGCCTATCTTTCACAAAACCCTGTGTGGGGATGAGGCTATTGAAGGTCTAGAGGTGATTTCTTAATATTTTTTGCTCTAAAGGAGTTCTCTTGTGGAGCCGGCGGGCAGTCCTCCATACTTTTGTCTCCCCAAATTCCCCAGGTGGAGACAGTCGTAGGCGTTAATAAGCTGCATTAGTGACCACCAGAGACGGAAATCACTAATTACTAAGTCTCCTTTGATCTCCCCCAGCCGTTTGGCTCCTGACATTGGAGGTTCCGGCATCTATGCTTTCTTAGAACTGTACCAGCCTAGTGTGTCCAGAGCCTTAGAGTCAGACGTGGGATCTGCAGTTTAACGTGTGCGCGGAGATCTGAATCAGATTTTAAAAAATTTCCACAGACTCCCCAGATTTTAAATCCAGCGGCTGAGCTGGTGTGTGGCTGGAAGCTAACAGACGCCCACGTGCGGAGGTGTTCGATTAATTTCAGCCCCTCCGTAGCTCTGCGCTTTAAATTTTGGGGGCAGACTGGGGAAATAACGATTTAAAATTTCCAGTGCACTGCCTCTCTCCCCTTCTCCATCGTCCTCTTTCCGATTCGGTTGTGGGAAATGGAGTTTACTTCTCTTTGCTGAGACTCTAACGTGATTCGGGATCATTTGTGAGATGAACAAAAGTGACGCGCACACGGGACGACTGGGGCAGAACGCTGATGGCAGACTCGGGGTAGGAGCAAAGGCCGGGCCTCCGAGGATAATTGGGAGCCAGCCTCCTCCCCGCCTGGTCTCCATGGTCCCCTTCTTCTTCCAGGTAAGATGAATGGCCCTTCATTCATCATCCACAGGCAGCCTCCTCCCCCAGGCGAGCGGAGAATCTGCTTCCCGAAGAAACCTATTAGCCCCGAATTGGGCAGCTTTGTGGACCCAACCAAGGCTCTCTATTGTGGCCTTTGTCTGCGGAATTTAAGCATTTACATAACGCATTAGCATCGAACTCCGCTCAGGGTCGGGACACCGCGTGCCGAGCCTGGCGCGGACCGCGCGTCTGCAGCGCCCTCACCCGGCTGCTCCCGGGGACCACCCTCGCTGTTGCGCCTGGGTCACGCTGCAGGCGCTCTGCTCTGGCAAGGAACGCAGTGCTACATCCGTCTTGGCCAAGCCCGGGCGGCTGCGCTTTGAAAGCGGCAACGTTTTGGGGGATGAACCCACTCAGGGTCCATCTGACCCTGAAGCCGAAGGAATAAACTTGACATTAATCTGGCTTTCCAGACGGTCGTTGGGGGCTTCGCCCGCTGACCGTTGAGAGCCGCGCGCTCAACGGTCACTGGTGCGTCCGAGCGCAGAGGCGCCTGGGGTTCCAATCGCCAGAGCTCGGGACCTGGACGCGCGGGTCTCTACCGACCCGCGCGCCAGCTGAGAGCAAAAAGGATTCGGGGCATGTAAAAGGGAGGACGATCCGCGGCGCTTGGGACTAGGTCTCTAGGGAGGAATCCGCAGGCTTTGGAGGTGCGCACGCTTCGCAGATTAATGCAAACACTTTAGTAAGTCGAGGTCTCTGGGTATCCAACCCTTTAGAGGGAGGTGGTTTGGCTCAGAAATCTCGCCGGAAGGGACTTTTCCACCGAAAACTTAGCCCAGAATGCGCCCCAGTCCAGACAGGTGCAGGAACTTTTGCGCGGCCGCGCCTCGGCCACTGCTCTAAACGGCCGCTTAGAGGCCGCAAGAGCTTAGGTCGCGAGTGCCAAGGGGAACCTGCGTCTGGAAGCGGGTCTCAGGGAAGAACACCGGACCCGGGGGACCCGCCAGCCCCCTTCCAAAGAACCCGCGGTCCCGCGCGCCCCTCGCGGCGAGCGGCGCTGGTAACCGGCGCCCAATCAGCGCTCTCGCCGGGTCTGTGACGGCGTTCGGCCCCGCCCCTTGACTGGGCTAAAAGGCCTCAGAGAAGGCTTCAGCCCAGGGTTCCGCGCGCTGTCCTGCGCCCCGACACGGCCCCCAGGTGGGTTTCGTAGCTTGTTGCTCTCAGCGCCGGTGCCACTGTCCCCGCGGTCTGCCTCGGTCAGGTCCTCATTCTCCTCAGTTCCCAGGGCGGGGCGGTCAAGCTAATCTCCAGGCTTCTCTCCTTCCCGGGTCACCGGCCTGCAGGTGAGGAGCAGCGCAGCGCCCCAGTGCGGCGACCTCACCTAGTCCGGCCCGTGCCCGAGCAGCGGCGGTCCCCCCAACGCTCCCTTTCCCCTGCAGGATGAAGAACCCAATGCTGGAGGCGCTGTCCCAATTGCTGGAGAAGCTGCTCCTCATCTCCAACTTCAAGCTCTTCAGTTCGGGCACCCCGGACGAAGACAAGGCGAGGAATAGTTACTATGAGATCAGCTCCTTCCTTCGCGGCGACGTGCTGGAAGTGCCCCGGACCCACCTGACCCACTACGGCATCTACCTGGGCGACAACCGTGTTGCCCACATGATGCCCGACATCCTGTTGGCCCTGACCAAAGACAAGGGGCGCACGCAGAAGGTGGTCTCCAATAAGCGTCTCATCCTGGGCGTCATTGGCAGGATAGCCAGCATCCGCGTGGACACAGTGGAGGACTTCGCCTATGGAGCCGACATCCTGGTCAATCACCTGGACAAGTCCCTCAAGAAGAAGGCGTTGCTCAACGAAGAGGTGGCGCAGCGGGCGGAGAAGCTGCTGGGCATAACTCCCTACAGCCTACTGTGGAACAACTGTGAGCACTTTGTGACCTACTGCAGATTCGGCACCTCGATCAGCCCCCAGGCCGACAAGGTACACGTGTGACTCGCCGTTGGGTTCGGTGGGGACACCCTTTCCCATCTCTAACCTTTTTCTATACTCTGGAATCAGGGATTGAGTTCTAGAATGAGTAACGATCTCTCTGGTGTTCCTAAAGGAGGCCAAGTAAATAAATAGCGTTGTCCCTTGCAAGGTAACCTCAAAATGGGGGGTTAAAGAGTGTGACAATGCAGTACCGCTGCCAGCGATTCCAAATCTACCCAGTTATTGCTGCAGAGGTGTCAGGGTGTCCACCCAGCGTCGTCGAAATGACAAAAGGGCAGGTGGAGGTTGGGGGCGGGGGGTCAAGAGAAAATCTGTCGCTGTGTGCTTGCAAATTTTCCCAAGAATTACAAGTGGAAGAAAGGCGACAGAGTTTGTATTTTATCTATAACCCTGTGTATAAATTGTGCCTTTAAAATTAAGGAAGCATGCAGGTTTCTCCATCTGTAAGCTGCAGAGTGAATTCCCTTTGCTTAATATAAACCATCAAAATTCCCAGTAGGAAGACCTCCCTGGTAGATCCCTTACTCCCGTGTCTGGCTTCAGAGAAGTCATTTCCTTGGTATTCTGAATTCTTTCTTTGAAGGCTTTAATCCCCATCTAGACTTCCTCATTGTTAGGCATCCTTTAACCCTTAGCTCCAAAGGTGGGATTGTTTATGGGTTCCTCAGAGATAAAAACAATTGGTTTGCAAGAAGGTCCGTTCAATGTAATTTTTATGAGCACTTAAAAAAAAACCAAACAAACAGTATTAGCATTGAAGATGATTAAATTACCCACAAATCCAAAGGGGTGGGGGGGTGGATTTTTTTATTTCCTTTTGAAACCTCTTAACTTAAAGATAGTTAACTTTTTAAGCCTGCAACTGCATTTGCAATTAGTAGCTTTCTCAGGCTTCACTGTAGTTGTTAAAGAGGTTATTGTTAATGTTCACTCTTAACTGAAACCTGGGCCATCACCTAATGAGCTTCACATTTTAACCTTCATGTTTAGATACTTTTTGGACCAAAAGAATGAGTCCATGCAACCGATTTTGTATTGCTTCACATCTTGATTAATTTTTTGACCCATATGGGAAAATCTTTTTCTCCTCTGTGGCAGAACATACAAGTACTATGCTTTTTATACATCAATATATGAAACTTCTTATAGATTATTTATAGAGCCACAACAGACTCAATCTAGTAAAATAAAAATATAGTTTGAGCAGTGTGCAATGATTTAAGAATCACAGCCACAGTCCAGGCCTGATTAGAAATGAACTTCACTACATTTACAAACACTGGCTCCAAAAGTGTACAAAAGGAAACAGGTCAGATTTACTTAGGAACCAAGCAAATTATTTCTCTAAGGAAAAACAGTACTTCTATCCAGTAATTAGGAGTTACCCTTTCATGGAACACATATAGCACTGTATTCTGTATTTTGACCAAAACCAACCAACCAAACAACAAAACACGTCACAAGTGCTTTTTTCGAGGTAGTAAAATATTTAATCTGCATAAATAACTAGCTGGAGTAGTTTTTCATCTTTGGAAACTTTGTAAGGTTTTACAGAAGTAGAGAAATGTTTTAATTGCTGTTGCTGCATAGCACCTCTTGTGAAACTGAGTTTTTGTCTTCACTTTGAATGGTGTAACAAACAATTTGGCCAGAGTAGATTTCCCCGGGGGGGGGGAAAAATCCCCATCCCAAATTTTCCAATTCTAAGAACTGTTTTTTTGAACATGCCTTGAGAGAAGTAGGTCATTATTATTGAAGGAGGACTGATTTCTACTTTTCAGAGATGTAAGGAATTACTTGACTCAGGGTCTGATTGTTGAGTTCTCCATCTGTGTATATACTACTGTAAGCCTGACACTGAGAGTTGCAAGTTGTCTCTTACTTAAAGTTAAATTTAAGTTTATAAACACTTTGAAGAGCACTTTCCCTCATGAAAGCACAGCAAATAATTTGAAAATAAATTGGAAGAAAACATTTTGCTTTTTTGTAGTGTGAAGCTCTTTTTAACAAGTTTAGAAATCATAAAATTAAGGGAGTTTTATATTACTATTAACAATTTCAGTGTTCTGTAAACTATAAAGCCCTTAATTACTCTTATTATGCCTTATGCTTTTTCAACTCTTTTTTTTAATGTTGCTGGTACTGCTTTTTATTGCCAAAAAATGAATGCAAATACCCCTTTTAATTTCTGGGGTTTCCGTACTCAAAAAGTGCCCCTACAGGCTACCTTCTAGCAATGCAGGACATTCCCTCCTGTTGAGCACCACTAGAGATGCCTCCGTGGGCTAATGGACATTAGAAATAAGGACATTAGAAATAAGATGCTCCTTGAGAAAATCTGCTTTTGGGGAAAGGAGTCCATCATGATTCTCTGTTTTCCTTAATTAACAATTATTGGGAAAAAGACAAAAAGAGCGTAACTGTACGAAGACAGTTAATCTTCCCATTTTTTGCCAAGCACCTTTTCTCATTGTCCTGAAAACTTCGTTTAGTTTGATCTTCACCACTTTAAGATTGTGTATTTGGGACTCAATGTTTTTGTTTAGCAGAAAGAGACAAATCGTCTGTTTGACGTGTAAGAAGACAACATCTGGATAACTAACAGGAACAGGAATTTGTCTAGAAATTGTATAAAGGTATGGCTAGAGACAACTTTACAGTCAAGATAGTGCATTAAGATATACTGGGCTCGTATACTCTGGCCATTAAGAATTTAGAAACCTGGCTGTCCAGGACCATATAGGCCACTGTAGGAGACCCTCAAAGCATATACAATGTCATGTCTAGGAAAGGAGCTTAAAACTAGCACGAATAGCACAAGTCACATATAAAAAATGGAGCAGTTCATTGCTAAATTTTGCCCAGACAGTGATGAGGTAGAGCTAACTGTCAACAGATGTAGCAGTAATAATAATCATTGTAATGCCTTACATTTACGCAGCACGTAGAGGAATACTTTTGCATTAAAGATCTCACCTGATCCTCACAACAACCTTCTTATTCCCATGGAGGAGAAGAGGGTAGTCTGGACAAGTTAAATGATTTACATGAGATTTACTGGAGCTAATAAGAGGTGAGCCAGGACTCAAACATAAGCCATCACTTCTGAGTAAATTTGGTTTTTAAAGGAGAACAATTTCACATATTAGAAGAATGACTTCCTCAGGGGTAGGGATCATATTTAATTTATCTTTATCTCCAGCAGCCAATTTTATGTCATGGAATTGATTGAATTTAATTTACTCAGAGAATGGGATATGATCAAAAAATTAGACTTTCTATGCCTTTAGATTTTGAGACCTCTGAGGACAGTTTTCATTGGTATCATCAAATTTTCGAATGATGAGTTGTAGGAACTGAATTCACCAATAATAATAGGCTAAATTTTATCAAGATTAGAGATTCCTTTGCTTATGAAATTTTAGAATATGTTATTGTTATTGACAGGCAGTTTAAAGTTTTAACCGTTAATCCTGAAAAACTTTTATGTGGTTACATTCTCTGTAGTTTTCTATAAAAAGTCTGTATTTACAAAGGCAGTTGCCTTTGTGAACCTAGTTGCCTGAAGCATCATTTCAGTTACTATGGGATGTGGAATCAAGAAACTGAACTATTCACACCTTAAATTCTTTCCGAAGTCATAAGAGAAATTCTGGTTTTTCTGTTAGACAGAAAATAGGTGAGAAAATTATGCTTTACTATTTGGTACATGTGATTCTTCTTAGGTTCAGCCCCCTTTTCTAATATTCTTAAATTTTATTTTCCAGTTCTGTGAGAATGTGAAGATAATTATTCGTGATGAGAGAAGTGTTCTCGCTTCAGTGGTCTTGGGATTGGCATCTATAGTCTATCTGGGCTTGGCATCCTATACTACCCTTCCTGCAATTTTTATCCCATTCTTCTTATGGATGGCTGGCTAACTTCATATCCCCGTGTCAGGTGTTATATTCTGTGTGTAAATATGTTTATATAGAGAGAGCACAAGTCAGTATAAGCATCGTCGAGAAAAATGTGACCTGTAACACTGTATTCTGGATAAAAATGTGACTAAGAATCACCCAAAGTGCTTACTGTGTAAGCCCAAGAACAAAGGCTTTCTGAATCTTCTCAGTTCGATTTTAAAGCCCTGTGCAGATCTTGGAAACATGACAACTTGTGATAGAATTCATCATTACAGGGGCTCCTGGGTGGCTCAGTCGTTGGGCGTCTGCCTTTGGCTCAGGTCATGATCCCAGGTTCGGGGGATTGAGCCCCGCGTCGGGCTCCCTGCTGTACCGGAAGTCTGCCTCTCCCTCTCCCCCTGCTTGTGTTTCCTCTCTCACTGTGTCTCTATCTGTCAAATAAATAAATAAAATCTTAAAAAAAAAAAAAAAGAATTCATCATTACAAGAGAACCGACCCCTAAGATGATGGCCGCAGGAGATTTTTTTTTTTTTTTCCTCCTATAATCATTGTTCTTCTCAGGCCTGAGTTGGAAGATTAGAAGACTTATTGAATAAGACCACTAACTTCATTGTAAATTTATTGTTTCATTGAAAAACTTATATTAAACTAAAAGAATTTCCCTCATTCAGATGAGAACATGTTTGATGATTGGCAAAAAAAAATTCACAATCTGTTTTTTTTCCATGCATTATATATAATTCCCAATAAGTCAAAAATACTTTCATTACTTGAAACCATGTTGGCGAAGTTAGAGTATAATGATAAAGTAACTGACTAGAACTATAGAAATCTGTGTTTTCCTGCAGAAATAAGCTACTATAGCATCAGTTGAACAATCTGATTTGGCTTTACTTACTCGGAAGCCTGGCATTCATTTTTGTTTTTTTTTCCTTTTATGTGTCACTCTGGTGACATTAAACCACTCTGAGAGGTAAATGGATATAGGATTGAAGTAATTTGTATACTTGGAGTGTGTATGTGCCAATTAAATAGGCAAATGTCTGCATATACACAGACTGATGAGAAACAAATGTTGTTCTTGATTGCTTTATAATACCAGTGTGGTTACTAGAGAGCATTTGTAGAAATGAATGGAAAAACAAGTTTAATCTGTTTTCTTATGACCTTGCATCCATGGTATAACTTTCATATATGTCATTGGATGGTTTACCTTTTAAAGCACTTACTAATGTACTGTATAATTTTTAAAAGTCCTCAGATTTGTCTTCTAACAGATTTCTTAATTTCATTGCAAAGTATAGTTTCCATCCTTAAAAGAAGGACGCCACGAGGAAATAACTGTTTGAAGTAGTTCCTGAGTGTCTTAGTGCCAGCAGGTGTGTAAATTGATTACACTGAGGCTGTTTTAATGTCAGGGTTGAGATGTAGCACTGTTAAAGCAAGCTTCAAATACTTTCATAGAATTACCAAATTGTAAAAACTAGGCCACAAGCTAGACTTGCATTTCAAGTATTCAAATTGCCTTATAAACTATCAGGAATCACAAGATGATAAGTCACATAATGAGTGATATGGGGAGACTAGCGTTGGTTACTCAGTGATCTAACCAGAACAAATTTAAGAGCAGATTTTAGTGTAGCTGATGTTTTACTGCCACTAATTTACAACAAATTCAGTTGGAGTTTAATAATAATCGAACTTTGTGTTTAGTCATTTAAAATGTTTTTAAATAGTCAAAACACAAAATGGCAACACCACAGAATAAAGGTTCTCTGGGCCTATTCCAAACACTTAAAATTATCTTAAGCGTGTATACATGAAAGCAATTTTATTGTATTAGTGTTTTTTTTACTTACTGTATATTACCTTTGTAGCATCTGTTTAAATAAATTGATTTTTTTTAAATATACGGTGTCCTCCTAAATAAATACCTTTTTTGCAGACTTCAGTATTTCAGGTAGCAAAAGCCACTGCCTGATGTTAAATCTGTGTTCACAGATAATAATCCCTTATTAAATGCTAAGGGAAGTATTAAGGTTAGAATTAACATAATTAGTCTTACTTCATATCCTTAAAGTAAGATCCAATTCCTCATTCATCTGAGTGTTCATTTTATGCCAGGCACTGACCTGTTGTAATTTCATGGTCTAGAATTAATATTATTATTTTTAAACTACCTATATTAGAGTGTATACAGTGCTACGGGAATACAGAGGAAGAAGCAATTAAGCAATTCCCGAAGGTCAGAGAAATCTGAAGTAGGCAATCTGGCATTAGGTTGAGAAGTAGTAGGAGGTAATTTCATCACACCCATGTGTTCTACTATTTATAGGAAGAGGAAACTGGAAAGTTTTATTTATCCAATATTCCACAACTCTAGAGTTTGTTGAACTTAGGACAAAGGAAAGTTTTGTTTTGTTGTGCTCAGTTTGATTAGTTGCTAAACAAGGTAGAAGCAGCACAGATCTCTGATTGCGGTCATGGAAGAAACTGAGACATTCCTGTGTCTCTGATGAATGCCTCTGGGCTTCATTAGTTAAGATTTATCCTTAGGATTCTGCAAGTCCCTTACTGTTCTAAATTTCCCTTCTAACTTGTGAAATGAGTACTGCCTAAGGCAGCTTTTTGTTGCTTATTTTGTTGTCATATGTAGATGAAGGCCAAAGAACTAGCCGGGGCTAAGATGAAATTATGTGTCAAGTACCCTGCAGATAATAGGAATGAAAAGAAGAAGGAGACATGGACCTCAAAGTTTATGGCCTCACTGACATAGAAGCATTAAGACTATGCAATAGAGCTGGTGTAAAGCACAGAAAATGACCTGGTTAGTTTTAACCGATAAGGCCAAAATTATAGGGACTGGGTACTGAGACTTGGAAACATGGGGTGTTTTCCAGGGATACAGATTTTGAGTAGGACATTCTACACATTGGGAACAGTATGAGCGAATGCAGGAAAACTACCCACACCATGCCTAGCACACAAGTGGGAGGCACTCGACTGTTCGTTGACTGAAGCATGGAACTGCATGGGGCATTCAGGCAGAGGCAAGTGGTTCAGACGCTAGAGTGGAGCAAGGTTGATAAGGAGAGGTGTTGGAAAAAGAGAACAGTGATCAGGTGAGTACAAGTTTTGTGCAGACCAAGAAGTTTAGACTTTATGAACAGGCAGTGGAGGTTTGAGTTCAGCAAGGTAACTCCCAAAAGTATAGAGGAAGGATAGAGCATGGGGCAAGACAGGACAAAGGGCTCTCTTAGGAGACTAGTTATGGTCCTTAATCTCTCAAATCAGGGCCTGTAATTGTGAGGGTGGGGAGCAAACATGTCAAGGAAATGTCAGCAGACTAGCCAAATCCTTCTATTTGACTCATGAGTAACTGTTGGTAGGGTGTCAGGGAGGAGTCATGCATCCCTTCCTGCCAAAAAATTAGTTCCTGAAATATAACTTCGTGTGGTGACTGTATGTATATTGGATATTCCAGATCTTTGTTCTGCTAGTTCTGTGTCTTTGCAAGGACAAGCAAAGAATTACAGATTTGTTGTTTAAAAATTTTTTTTCAGAATAGAGATGTGTTTCTTATTTTTCCATTTCTGTTTTATACTATTACTGTCAAATATGTAAAAAAAAAATGTTTCCCAGTGATATCACAGTTACATCAATGGCCAAGTCTTGTTGTGATAGATGAGAAGCATATAAGAAATGATGGTTGCCAATATTGTGTTTTATATAATCTGTTTAGAGATTTTTATCTAACCGAGATCTGTTAGCTCAACTAGTTTTATATTTGGTATATATGTGCATGAAATAAAATCAATTTTATATACTGTCCTCTCTTGTCTTTGAATTTGATATACATAAATATTTTTCTGAACATGGTAGCCTGAAGAATTTTGTCTTTCAAGACTTCCTTTTCTGAACATAGCTAGCTTTAGATATTTGAAATTAAAACTATGTGGATCTGTCTTCCCATTGGTATGATCTATGTTATCTACATCTGGAAGCCGACCTGGATTATGTAGAAAAAGTTTCTGCATGATATTAAATAACAAGTCTCCTCTCCATTCCACAAAGCCAAGCAGCAACAACGCATAGAGCCCTGCGCATGAACTCAATCACCAGATGTTTAACAGTACCAGCGTGGCCTGCCATTTTACTCTGACTATGGATCGAGCAGGGATGAAGTGTGGGTAGAAGCAAATCCCAGGGTCAGTGTTGAGACACATTTACAGCATTGCAAAGAACCACAGAAGTTACTGAGCCAAATCCTTAAACATCTAACCACGTTTCAGACATGAAAAATCAGGCACAGAGGTTGAGATACTTCGCAATTACACAAATAACCAGAGGCAGAGCCACAGTTGGACTCCAGTTTTCTTTCCTCTATATGACTTTGGCTTCCCGAGGCCTCCCGTAAATAAGGCAAGCTTTCATCCAGTGAATGTATTAGTTTCTTGCAGACCTTTTGTGTGCTCCAGGCAGGGCCACAAGAGAATGGACTAGTTGGAATCTTAGTCCTATAGTTGCTTAGTCTTATGAGAAAGAATGGCAAGCAAATAGGTTTCAAAACAATGATAAGCTTGTACAAGTGTCAGAAGGGCAGAGACAAAGCCTATACCTGTCTGTTGGGGGCCAGCGAAGGAGAGAGACGTGAAACAAGTTTTCAATGATACCTTAATTGAGTTGTATGGAGTACAAACATTTGCAGTGAAAGAGACCTTTCTCCGGGCCAGTACAGGCACCATACAAAGGCACAGAGCCAGGAGAACCCAAAGCACAGTTGGATTACTACCAGTCCCTGAGAACAATTACCTGTGTTTATATTGCTGCTTTGATTGAAAAGTACCCCTACTGTTCCACCGTTCCTTTGAGGAAGACAACGCTAGACTCAGGTGATGGTAGAGACAAGAGGCAAGATCATGGAGAACTTGACACTATGAGAGTCTGGAGTGGAAAGAAAGCATTTCCTAAACTTTCCAAGTACCTCAGGTGAGCCTTATGAGCAGGCAGTTTTGTCAAACACATGATGGTTCCAATTTTAGTATATGTGCTGCCGAAGCGAGCACTGTCAAACACATGATGACTAGGGGTGGGATTAGGTTGTTAGGAAGAGAAATGTAAGGTTTATGGATGGGGGTTTATTGAAGGGTACGTGGAGAAGTGGGAATATTGGAATCAAAGGATGAAAGGCCACATGTCCCCAGTCAGCTCACCACTGCTCCCACGTTCCCACAACAACCCTCCTCATGGTTCTAGATTTTGTCCCAGATACTTCATTCCACTGAGCTTATAGCTGCTACTCCTATTGCTGCCCACCTACCGCTCCTAACCTTCGGTGTATTGACGCTTCTGCTGCCTCATGGTTTTCCTTACACCTTGATTTTGTGTTTCTTCTACTTCTCCACTCTGCTGGGCCTCTGTCTCTCTCATTTA